GTGGGATATTCCAGGAGAAAACAAAGTGGAGGAGACCCTGACCTTGCGGAGGTCGCTGTCAGCCCAGTGGCTGCACAGTCTTTGTCCAATTGGCCCTGGCCTCCGGTGTGAGGTGACTGCAAACAAGGTGGAAAGGGCATTGACTTTGGAGTCCAGTGACCCAGGCTCAGAGCAAGTCATTTCACTAGAACCCGCTAATCATCCGCAAAGTGGGAGCAGGAAGCCTCCAGTTTCTACACTGTGTGGCCCTTCTGGGAGGATGCCTGGCTTTGTGTGGCACATCAACCCCGAGGGCTGGGGCTGCTGGCCTCCACATCCTCCCACAGACAGCAGCTGTTCACCAGACCCTCGTCCAGTCATGTTCTTGGACATGGTGTGTAAATAGAACCTGCAAACCGAATCGTTTGGAACACTGAGCTTGTGCTACAGTGGAATTCTTTTTTTTTTTTTTTTTTTTGATGTGGACCATTTTTAAAGTCTTTATTGAATTTGTTACAATATTGCTTCTGTTTTATGTTTTGGTTTTTTGGCCGCAGGGCATGTGGGATCTTAGCTTCCCGATCAGGGATCGAACCCACACCCCCTGCACTGGAAGGCAAGTCTTAACCATTGGGCCGCCAGGGAGGTCCCTACAATGGAATTCTTGAATGTACACATATGATATCTCTGCAGATTAAAACCAGAAATATTTGTAGAATAAATCCCTTGAAATGTTTGATTAGTGCTGGCTGGAAGTCAAAAGCAACAGGACTTCAAGGAGTGGCTAGTTGGTGAGGTTGGGTGTGCCGGGTGCATACGGGGCAGAGGCCCGAGAGGGGTCGGGGCTGAGTTTAGAAGGATGGCACGCTCAGACCTGCGGAAAGACTTGGGGGCTGGGGGCAGCGAGGGGTCCGCTGTCACTGGCGGCGGCGGCGAGGAGGAGGACCCGATGGAGGGGTTTAACATCGTTCGGAGGGTAGGCGAGGGGGCTGGCTGGCCAGTGCCAAGGCAGAGCCCAGAAACGCTTGACGAGGTGGGCTCAGCCGAACTTGGTGCCTGGCACAGCTCGCAGGGCTCGGGTTGAGGGGCGGGGAGAAGGTGTCTCGGGAGCGCGGGAACAGCTTTCCAGCCCAATTAAGATTTGGGATTTTGTCCTCTCTCTCTGAGCGTAATCTGACGCCGTTTGGGGGTGGGGGTGGGGAGGTTACGGATACATATAAAAAAATAGGGTTTTAGA